TGCGCCATCGAGACGTTGGGGGTGCTTGTTGTGGGTGGTGAGTTTGGGGGTTATATGGGAGAGGTGGGGAGAGGTGGGGAGAGGCGAGGAAGGGGCTGGGGATAGGGCGGCGGGGGATGAGGAGGGAATGGTGAGGTGGGTGGGGGTTTGCAGTTTGCACAAATGGGCTTTGGGGAGGTATGAATGGCTTGGTGGTGATGGAGTCGGTATCCGTCTCCCTTGAATCGCAAATAATGGAATTTGCTCAAGTTCAAAGGGATGGTATTCAATACGGCTTGTTGTTGACGAATTTCAATAAAACACTGAGTCGTACTACATGTCGAACATGACATTTGAAAAAACACATTCATGTCATATGGCAACACAGCAACACAGCAAGTCCACTGTAAGGACAAATCAACGAATTCTTCATCTAAGATATACATTCCCTGACCTCATACCCGAATCAAAACTCCTCATCACTCGGCACCCAAATAAGTAATCCCTCCTTGTCACTCTTCATTCCCTCCGTTGGCGCAATCTTCAACACCTTCTGGAAATACCTATCTCTAATCACACACCTAATAGGACCAATCCATTCCCCTCTAACTGTCGGCAATAATCTAAATTTTACTGTTCTTCTCGAAAGCGGCACTAATTGCAGCGTACTCTGTTTGACTCCTGAAAATGCAAATTGTTCACTAGGATCCATTGTAATTGCGAATGAGAGGAAATGATGTGAAGGATTTTCGATAGTGACGTCGAAGTGTATCATGGACGGGATAGTCGAAGAATAGGTTACTGCAGCTAGAACTCTTGGTTCGCTACTTGAGACGAGCAGTCTCGGGACAGGTACTATACATGTATTTAAAGTGGATCCATCTTTGTTTCTACGCCATTTTATGACGAGAGATAAGTCAAGAGTGGCTGTGCCTCTGTCATCCAATGAATATTTTTGCGTGAAAGTGTCAAATTGAGCTTCTTCGAGTTCATTCGGACTAATTCTTATGCCGCCTTCGGGTATCGTGGTAAGTCTCTTTGTGAAGCATTTGATGGCACCTTGTAAACCGAGTATTTCGACATCAACATCTTCAACAATTACGTCTTCTGTTGCGAATGAAGCAAAGCGAGTCGTTAGACACCATTTTTGTGCCAATCCAAACGCTTCACGATCATTATCTTGTCCATCTTGACTGGTTTCCAATGATTCTTCATGGGTAAAGAAGCTCGGCCAGGAGTCTGGATGAATTCGAGGAGAGAAATCATAGTTAGCCTCAAAGGGGTTTAAGATTGAAAGTTGTGCTGACATCGCTTGTGAGATAGGTGTTTCCAGATCTGTTACGAGGTTGTATGAAGCTTTGAGACTAAGATCATAGACTGCTGGTAGATCTATCGATGAGATGACCATTTCCACTGTGATAGAAGAGCCACTAGCAATAGTACCTAGTGATAGTTCATGATCATCTTCTTCAGATTCAGTATCGCTTGGTAAATTCGTTTTATCGAGACGTCGTAAGACAATACTGGATGGAATGTTTTCTCCAAGAAGACGTGCTTCTAGATCTACAATAGAATCCGTTTCCTCTCCATTTTTCACTTCGAGATGTAAAGAGACAAGTTCATTTGTATAATACTGCTCCTGGAATTCGAGGATACGTAACTCCAGCTTAGGTGGTTTGGGAAGTACGTGAATGGATGATGGCCTGGTACGAACAATCTTCTTCTTTGTTCCACTATCACCATACCATATTTCAGGGAATGATGGTCTGTCAAATGAATGGACATAATCAAAATCGAAAAGCTCAGAGGCAATCGAAAAGGTGACCTTCAAAGCCTTGGCATCACCTGCTTCTCGCAGTAGATTGACAAATTCGAAGGCTTTAACCTGGCCAGGACTGAATGTAAGATCCTCATAGCTTGTCAACGTGTGTCGAGTAGGTGGGTCTTCATGGTCATGGCCTGTTTCCACAGTTGATTCGTCAATCAATGAAGTCTTCTTAAACAAGACGCCAGCTTTCAAAGTGTCGGAAGATTCAGTGTTTACTTTATGCCGTAGAAGAATGGGTTTCATACTACCTGTAAACTCTACGCGTATTTCGCTAATGGTCACAGGCGTCGATGAAGCTAGAGCTGAAGACCTAATTGCTAGTTGAGACAATGAATGCTCACCCACCTTCCCTTCGGACTTCTCGAAAGCATATGATGCAGTCAAGAAGGATTGAACTTCCTCGGCATGAAGTACAATAGCGGGCTTCACCTTTACTGTGTTTAGGCCGTCTAAAGCCTTTTCGATATTGTAATGCCAGTTCGATTGACGAGCAAAGCCTATGTTGAATGTTAATAAATGATAAATTTTATCTGTCGTGGTATACTGACAGGTATGTAGAAGTTCCCAATCCACAGCAACAACTGTGCCTCCATCGCCGACCTTAGCAGCAGCCTTTCTCAAAGTCCATGCAATCTCCTCAACTACAACCCACCACCCCTCATTCCTGTACGTCATTTTCTGCCACAGGGCACGAAGAATTCGTAATGCATCATCCCATGCTTCCCTTTTCATATGTTCTTTTCCGCATTGAAATAGGAGCTCCTGCACTAGACGGTGTTGTCCTCTCGCTTGAAATTCAGTGATGGCTTTGTTCAGGACGTCAATTACAAGACTTGCATGATCAATGCCTGTACGACCTGGTAAAGGATTTTCCTCGTGAGGTTGAGGGCAGAGATATGTATCATAAGTATAAACTCTACTCGCAATCTGTGAAGCGGGGGATGATCCAGGCGGGGACCTATCTTCCTCTGGTATTGCTAAAGCAAGAGCTCGACGAGCCATTAAATGTTTCGAAGCCTCGCGATACCAATAACCTGGATGATGGAGGCTCTCCCATGGTTGCACCCCAGTTGAAGTAGCTTTGTCAAGTGGTAAATATATGGTTGACTTAGATTGAGTAAAATCCGTGAAGTTAACTTTCTCAATCATCTCAGCCATGATAGTTGCCCAACGAGCTTCCCATGCTTGCCAGCCATATGTTGATGAACCTTTACCTCTACGATCCACAAAGTCACGTATCCTATCCCGATGTATTTGCCATCTGCGGACTGCAGTTGATGAATGACCATTCCACAGTAGACAACGCAGTATTCTGATTGCAAATACATCGGCGATGAGACGCCCTTCGTTGAATCGAGGGCTCCATGTAGCAATGGTTCCGAGGACCTCTTCACCCAATAATGCTTCGTAGCCACTTTCATATGAACGAACAGCTACGTCCATTTCCTGCCTGAATTCGGCAAAGACTCCAAGTTTAAAGTCATATCTCACATTCCATCCTTGTCCAGTTAATGTTTGTGAGGTTCCTGACGTGGGCGGAGCTGTTGGAGGTGGAACCACGCCTCTATTGCGCTTCCTTCTTGAGTGCTTGCTCAAGTCACGATAATATTCAACACAAAGCGGGTATATAGTAAAATAGATCGTATCGACAAATGCTTCAATTTCAACCGAGGAACTTTGTGGAGGTAAGAAAAACAAGGAAGTTTTCGAATCAAGACCAGTTGCTTTACGAATATTAGAAAGACGCTCTTCTACATCAGGAAGTGGCACGCCGGGTGTCTCGCTCAATAATGCAACTATAAGCCGAGTCTTGTAACCCGATTTGTTCAATATATTCTTTATATTGTTGATATCCGTTTTCAACTGATTATCATGTAGGGTTGCCAAGTTCGGATCAGATGTGAAGCTGTAGAATGAAAGATATGCGCTTGGTACGAGATCTTGGTGTTTGTCTAACCACTTTGTATCCAACAATCCATCTGGGAAGACCGTTGATCCAGGGGTCAGTGGAGATAATGGGGAGTGCAAAATAAGTCTAGAATTAGGGACAGGGCTCCCCGAATCGGGGGAATGCGAAGTATTCGTTGGAGGTGGAGCTTTGCGACTTGGTAATATATAATCCTATGAACCCTTCAGTGATTGACTCCAAGAAGAGTGGCCCATCTTTAGCTACCCGTCCAATAACCTTCACTCTGAACTTATTCTTCTCGCTATGCTCGTGTCCGTTCCATGGTAGATTTCCCGCGTCACTCTTTTTGAAATACTGCAGAATGAAGTTTGTATCCTCTGATTCCAACGGGGCAACATCAGAAGTGATTAGCACCCCTCCTTCCTTCAATCTGGCATTGGTTGGCGATGGATCAGCTCCCAAACCGGAGACTACGAGCAATGGTAAATTATGCGCAATATATGGAGTCGCATACCCATCCATCTTGATGGTCCTGTGGTCTCAATAGCTCCATAAGACTACAGATGGAAGTAGTCCAGGATTCGTTGCCAGACAATGTTATTTCGTAAACATCGATTGGTCGATTGTGGAATGAATCGTTCGAATGTGAAGATAGGCAAGGCTGATGTCGGCGATCAACCTGGATCTGAACGCAGCCTTTTGAGATATCAAACTATTGGCGGAAGAGGATGTAGGTTAAAGACTGCTACTCAAATGTAATATAATGGTGTATCAATCTCAATGCTTCCGTCCTATTGAAATACACAAGTTCACGACTTCAGTTCAGACCATAGATACCTACGAAAGGCTGATTATTTTGCGATGCACGGATCATTCTCAAATATAAGCACCGACATGCCGATTGATGTAGCCTCGCGCTTCACCCTCCCAGCAAGTACAAAGCTTCTTTAGATAACTTTCATCATTCTCGACTTTATTTCTATTGTACATTGTAAATTCCGCTTTGCCCATTTCTTGCCCTCGTACCTACTTCTCGATATAAGAAACTTGGGACTCATTCTGTTTCCTACAGTCAAGGATAAGTAAACCGGCGCATACATTCGAATTCCCACAAACTCATTGCGATCAAATACCTTCCATAACAACCCCGTACCCAAGGCACCCCAGATTCAGCTCTTGGATGCTTTTATCGAATGCGAACAATCACGGCATGCTCGTAGGACTCTAAGAATATAGCTGCCATAAGAATATTGTTCCCATTTACATATCTCGAAAGTTGTCACAATGGCTTCGCAAGCGGCTATGATCGCAGATACAATCATTGCTATGAAAAGAGCAGTCAAGAGAAAAGCATATGGTATATACTGGTCTACACTAGAGGAATAAGTTGATCGATATATCTGATATAATTTGGCAGAATCAGATTCCGATGCTTCGATCGAAAGACTTACAAATCGAGGAAACAAATTACGAAAGAGGGCAAGATACGTGCAGCAAGGTCAATTGGCCCCGCCAACTGGTCGACATATATACAGAGAGGTAATGTTAGCACTTTGGGGAGAGTATTCAGAATCTTTGTCTAATTTTTATTTGCCAATAGACAATTGAACATGCCGGCTACACGAGAGATATTATTAGTAGGAAACCCCCGCTTATTGACGAAGACGGCGAGAATATCGATAGCGACGAAGAAGATGAAGAGAAGATTTCAATCGCGAAGGCAGCAGCTGCAGAATTTGATCCATATGCAAATATAAAACTAGAAGGTTCGTCATTCCAAAATATTGCTACTTTGGAAGTCTCTCGCTAATTCTTTCGAGTAGAACTCCTTGCACCTTTAACCTCTGCCTCCGATTTACCTGACCATCCAAAATTGTCGCAGCCCTTCACATCGAAAGTCTTAACAGAATTAACAAGAAATGCGGGAGAGATGCTTCAGAAAGAAATGGCATCTTTATGGAAGATCAAACATCTCCTAACTCGACTCAGTGGCCATGATACTTGGATGCCGTGTGAAACTGTCGAAACTGATCATGATGCTTCTTTTTTTGAGACAGAAACGGAACGTCATCGGGCTCAGGTAAAGAGAATCGCAAAACAGCACGCGGATATGATGTCGAGAGTAGCTCTGGCTTCTGACGACGATAGCGTAGCTGCTTCAGGATTGATGATTATGGGTATCGAGAGCGACGCTGCCTTTGGAGTCGCTGCCCTTCAGGCCTTGAAAGGGAAGGGAAAGGCATTGGATGTTGACAGAGATATGACATCTAACTCGGCAAATGGAGAAATTGCCGAGACATCTGCCGCAAACGGCACTGGCAACGATTCAGAATTAGTAACACCACCGCCAGACAATGTTGAGATGGACCAAGAGGGTTCGCAAGGGGCCGGGGATGCAATGGATATCGAGCCGATGGCTGAAGATATTGAAGACGATACGGTCATGAATGCCGTTCCTCGCCGTATGAGGACTCGCGCCCAAGCACAGGCGGTGTTCGACAATGCGACTCGTTCGAGGTCTATCACACCTGATTTAAATGGCGAGCCTTTCGTTCATCCTTATTTTTTGGCACCTGAGAACTCGTATCCTGATCGAGACCTTTATTTACCTCATGGAGAGGCTGACGAATTAAGGAAATTATTGATGCACTATATTCAAAAGCAAGAAGAGATTATCCGAGGAGCCCAGAAAGTGTACGACGGATTATTGAGAGCCGATCGTATGCGCCATTTGGTTTTGAAATGGACAAAAGCCGAGGGACATGTCGGTGACAATCGTGATATGTCAGATGGTGAGGATTGGTATGATAAAGAAGAATGGGGATTAGATGAAGACTTGAAGAAAGGACAAGACGAAGAAGAGGAAGATGCTGCAACAACAGCCAAGAAAACTAGAACGAGACGACAGTGATCTGACATAGCGAATCATATCATATCATGGGTAACATTATTTTGGGTCAAGGGAAGAAAGGCAGGCGTAATGGGGTATGGAAATTGAACAGGAATCCAGGGGATAAACTTACTGTATGAAGATACCATGACCTTGGGGGGAATTCATGATGGCGCAATTAGGAAAGATTGCATTATATTATGCATTCTGTATTGAATGCAACAAATGGAGTGAGTGGCACAATATGAACAAATCGAAATTTATAGGGAAATTTAGGTATATTGGTCGGTATGAAATGAAAATTATATTATTCAACATTTCATCGGTTATTGTTTTTATTGTTACAAAGTAGGAAGGTAGAAAGGTCATGCATGATTTTGGTGGAAATTCTATATTCTATTGATGTTCGTACACGGGCGTGCTTATTAAGCTTCCTTTTCTAAGGTCACTCTTTTGAAACTCGCCACGTGCTCGCTTCCAAGAAAAGACGTCATGAGAACAGGTAGGGGTACGGAGGGAATGGACGAAGTACATATGGATATGATTTTGTTGAGCCTTTCACGTGAAAGATTTCCCGTAACTTTTTTGACAACCACTTTTATAGAATCTCATAGAAGACAATCTGTCCATTTCTTTTATTCTACAATTCCATCTTTTATGGAATAACCTCAATTTTCACATCTCACATCGATTCCTATACACTCTACAATCATGACGAGTTTCCTAGGTAATAACAAAGGTCTGGTCGACTTTGACCAGAAAAGCCTCGCAAGTATGTCATTACGGAACAACCTCAGGAATAGCTTCATAAAATACTAACCAGGCCTTCTAGTTGCGGCAGCATCTATTGCTTTCAATCCTATTTTCTGGAAGTAAGCTACATATTCCTCTCCTCTCTCGCAAGAAATGACAAACTAACCCAATCTCTCAGTACCGTCGCCCGTCAAGGTACATTTGAAACAATCCCACTTACAGCCCAGAAGCACCTATTGATATAATTGCCCAATTTTCAGAATACCATAACAAAATTCTCACGAAACTCTTCAATGGAAACTCAAGATATGGATGTTACTTCCTCGCCGTCACCATCTTTTCCCTCGGTATCTTCCGCGATTTCCTCTATGAGCGCGCTCTTCGCTCTCAACCTACTCATCCATTGCTTCTCTCCCCCCTTGTCACATATGCATCTTATGCACTTCTTCTTGCCGGTAACACACTCGTCTTGAGTTCGATGTGGGCTCTTGGTGTCACGGGTACATATCTCGGCGATTATTTTGGAATCTTGATGGATAAGATGGTGACGGGCTTTCCGTTCAATGTTAGTAGTGCACCAATGTACTATGGGAGCACAATGAGTTTCTTGGGTACAGCACTTCTGTGGGGAAAACCGGCGGGCATTTTGCTCACGATCGAGGTGTTGGTTGTTTATCTTTTGGCACTGAGATTTGAGGATCCATTTACAGCTGAAATTTATGCCAAGAGGGAAAGAGAGAGAAGTGGGAAGAAGGGGAAGAAGGGATTGTAAATCATTTGTGGGGGTCGCGAGGGGCGAGTTGTACAGGTGTGAACGGACATGATAGAGTGCGGGGAATTAAGGTGTGAAACCGGGGAAGTGTGGATACGGGGTAGTAAGTGGCATGGGGTAGCGGAGGTAGATCATGGTGACGGCCAGGAGAGACAAGGTATTTTGCTATTTTGAAAAAAAAAAGAGCTGAGCGATAAATTTCAGATCAGGGGCTTATTTTATGGGTACGGATTGATGATTGAATGGAGCATATACATTTGGAAAATGGGTTATCAAAAACGGGGTTCAACAATGGACAGGATTGGTTGGCATAGATATCAACTACTTTGCATCAAAATGGTTTTATGGTAGAAAAATTAAACGGCGCACACATTTGAGATCATTATATTTATCTTCATGTCTATTATATATCGTCTATACTCTATCGATGGCTGTTCAGTGTTGGTTATTGAGTTCACAATTCTCACTCATAAACATCACTAAATCAATCAATCAATCAATCAGCAACCAATCAGACATACTGCAAAACACAAGAAGTACTCACGTCCTAGCCATCAATGGCATCTTTTCCCTCGCTTCGCTCACTTTCCCTAAATCAATCCTCGCAATTCCCAACTTTCCCCCCGCAAGAGTGTTCACTTCTCCTTCCACATCCCCCGCACCTCCCATATCCAATACAACCCTCCCCAATGGATCAACAACCATACTGTGTCCGTAACTTTCCCGTTTGGCGTTATGAGAACCGACTTGCGCGGCGGCGATGACATAAGATTGGGTTTCGATTGCTCGGGCGCGGAGAAGAGTTTCCCAATGTAAGAGGCCGGTGGGAATGGTGAAGGCGGAGGGGTAGGTTAGGATTTGGGTGTTTCGAGTGCGGAGATGAAGGGAGGCAGTGGGGAAGCGGAGCTATGAATGGGGGAAAGGGGTGTTAATTTTGGGTTTAAGTGGAAGGAGGAGGGAGTTTGAATGTGGTATGGCTTAAGAAAGGGGGGGATGATCAGGAGAAGAGAAAGAAACGAAAGAGCCAACTTGGTATCGAAGATCGTTTCACATGATCGTATCAACTACGATATCTCCCTTTCCAATCCTTCACTCCAAATGATACAAACTCAAGTCCACGAAACAATCAGAAAAGCAAAACTTACATCAAAGCAAATTAATAATCCTACTTTACCCACACACGTCTCAACCGGTCCTCCAACCTTCTTTCCAGCTTCCACACTATCACTTTCCTTCAACCCCGCAGCTGCATAGTCAAAGAGATGGACTTTATCATATTGTCCCACTATGTCTCCAGACTCGGAAATCCAAATCGATCGATTAAGTACCTTGTTGCCAGAAGCATTTGGGACGTGGATCCCGACGTTTATGGCTAGGGAATATTCCTTAGCAGAGGATTGGAGACCGAGAACGAAGGGGGATGTGGCCATAGGGAGAGCGAGAGAAAGGGAGGTAGGTGGCGAGCCTGGGGTGGTTATGTAGTCTGTCGCTTCAGGGAGGAAGAGTGCCTAGGGTTGGTGTGAGATAAGTTGAGATGATGGATATTGAGATGTGAGATTTGAGTATTTGGAGCAAAGGAAAGAAAGAAACAAACTTTTGCTCCTTGCTCTGAGGCTTCTTTGGCAAGTCTTTGACATGTAAGAAGATTTTGTTGAATGTCTGCTGTGGAACATAATTGACCTATTGCCTGGAGAGAGTTAGTTGTGTGTTGATGTGAATTGGATGATCTCTTACAATGATAGTTTCTGGATTTTGATGTTGATCCATTCTGAAAGAGTTATTCGAATGATACAAAGAGGAATTGGTAAAAGCTCTCGTATTCTTGAGAAAAGATACTCTGGGAGTGTGACGTGATATTGATATTGATATTGGTCGATACTGCTGACAAACGATGAAGCTTCTGATGGGATGGAAACGGATTTTAGCCAGGACGGGAAAGTGGGATTGTGATTTCAGATGAAACATTATCATTCAGTCTGACAATTTTTATGTATCTGAATACATTAGACGATTACATATAAGTAACATCAGCAGGTATTCTATCTCGATAATAAATATGTGTACCTAGGTAGTATATCCAACATCTTCCCTTCATATCCTCTTGTCGCGAGAAACCATTGTGATATCCATACCTCGTATACTTCATCATCACCCACATTGATTGGACCCTCCATTCCCATGCGGAATTCCGAGAAAATGACGTCCATCAAAGAAATCAAAGCGCCCGAACTTTTAACAAAACATTTTTTGTATTGAACAACCCGAAAAACCCTTCCACTCTCATAATACTGCAACCTGACGTGAGCAACTTTTGGATTCATAAAAGAATCCAATTCCTTCATCAATTAACAACCGAAATGCCATTATAAATTTAGGAAAGCGAAATGTCAAATGGAGGAAATGCTGGGAAAAAATCCTCTTCCTGTATGTATTTCTCTAGCTAGGATATATTTGCCCCGCCACTTCGAGTATATTTTACCTACAATCTAATTCGATCCAACCCAATTCATTCCAGTAAGAACATAAAACTAATATCATACTCCTCTTCCAGACTTCCACTTCGGAGCAGGATTAGGATCAGGAATTCTGTCCGCAGTTCTCCTCCAACCCGCCGATCTTCTCAAGACCCGCGTGCAACAAAGTAACCATGCCTCTCTCTACACCACCATTCGCGAGCTCTCGCAGTCGCCAAATAGCATCCGGTCTTTTTGGCGGGGAACCGTTCCCTCTGCTCTCCGCACCGGATTCGGTTCCGCCATCTACTTCACCAGTTTGAATGCTCTGCGACAGAATGTCGCAAGATCAAATCTCCTCCGGACAATTGGGGTCGTGGAACAGAAGAGCACGGTACATTCCTCCAGTCTACCCAAGTTATCGAATCTAGCGAATTTGACAACGGGAGCGGTGGCGAGAGCTGGAGCTGGCTTTATTCTCATGCCTATGACGATTATCAAAGTAAGATATGAATCCAATTTGTATGCCTACAAATCGATCGTGGGTGCCGGACGAGATATATTCCTCACCGAAGGATTTCGAGGATTTTTCTCTGGGTTCGGAGCCACGGCTATCAGAGACGCTCCGTATGCGGGATTATACGTGTTGTTTTATGAACAGTTGAAGAAGAGGCTGAGTCATATTGTCCATTCGTCTCCTCAAGTTGAGGGATTGGCTGAGAAGGTGGATCTGGGGTTGAGCAAAAATATGAAGGGGAGTACAAGCGCTTCGATCAATTTTGGATCGGGAGTACTGGCAGCAGGGCTGGCGACGGCGATTACGAATCCTTTTGATGCGATTAAAACGAGGATTCAACTGCAGCCGAAAAAATATACAAATTTGGTTATGGCGGGGAGGAAGATGGTGGGGGAAGAGGGGGTAAAGAGTCTTTTTGATGGATTGGGGTTGAGGATGGGGAGAAAGGCTGTTAGTTCCGCTTTGGCTTGGACCATTTATGAAGAGCTTATTAGGAGGGCCGAGTCGGTTTTGAAGGGGCAGCAAGAGTTGGTTGTTTGATGAAGGAGAGAAATGTGGAGGAGTATAGACGGATTCGCTACTCACATCATTTGACTTGTATTACTACTTTCCAACACCCCTATGAAGATTGGAGTCATGATACTAACATCACTTTTGCATGTTTTGCTTCAATGTTTTTTTATTATTGAAAATAAATTATCGTTGATAACGATCCATGTCGTGGGTATAGATAGAAGCTCAGCACATAAAAAAGAGATGAGAGTTCATCTAGAAGAAAAAGAAAAAAAGTTCAAGAAAATCGTTGAAGCAAAACAGACTCATTAACCAATCCACTCCATGTATTCATCAATCATCTTTCATCATCATTCTTCATCCAAACATCACATCGTCAATTTCTCATTCCACACCTCCCTCACGATTTCCTCCTCTTCCACCTTACCTCCCAGCCGCCCACCTAACAAAAGGACTCGGGCTTCTACTCCCGCTATGACTATGACTATGCTTATGCTTCCTCTCAATCACCAATTGCAAATCATCACCCTTGTGATGATGTTTCTTCTTGTGACGATCTTCAACGACGTACTCCTTGACGTATTCGATGGTGTGTTGTTGATTGTGGGTGTGGGGTGGAGCACGTGTTTCGCGCAGTTGACGGGTGTGTGTCCAGAGGATGTCTTGCTCGTCTTCGGGGACCCAGCGTTTGATGAGGAGGAATTCGGGGTCCTGGTTGGAGGGGGGAGTTAGTGGGTGTTTTTGTGGTGGTGTGGTGATGTGGTGAAAAGTGAAGGGAGAAGAAGGGAAGGGGAAAAGAGAAGGGGGGAAATAGAAGGGAAAGGGGACAAAGAAAGGAAAATGGGGTAAATACATACCTCTTTATCAAATTCATACGAAATTCCATAAACCCTCAAAGTTTCAATCGACAAATGTTTCCTCGACATTCTCGTGTACGTTGGTCTCGGCGCCGCAGGTTGGATTTGATATTGCGGAGGATGTTGAACTGGCGGTGGCGGTGGCGGAGGCATCTGAACCTGTGGAGGCGGGAGAGCCTTTCCAGCTTTCACCGCTCCGATTTGTTGTTCGTTCAAACCCGCTTTATGCAGATCTTCATGCAGACGTCGCTGGTATTCCTTTTCTCTCTCTTCCCTCTCGTGTTTCTCACGAGCCAAACGATCCGCTTCTTGCTTCTTGAACTTCTCGATGATTTCTTCCCGTTCCTTGCGCTCGCGCGCCGCCTTCTCGGCTTCTTCGCGCTTGTACTTCTCGATGGCTTCATCGTGTTCTTTCTTCTCGCGTGCGTGTCGCTCCTGTTCCATTCGCTTCATACGCTCGTATGTATCACGAATTTCCTTATCAGCCCGCTCCCTCTCTTCCTGCGTGCGCTTTTCCTTCTCCATGCGCTTCTTTTCTTCCTTGAGAGAGAGCAGTTCGAATTCTTCCCGTAACATGCGTTCTTTCTTTTCCATCTCTTTCTCGGATCGAATGCGCTCCAGTTCTCCTTTCGTCATGCGTAGCTCCACATCTTCTCTCAACAACCTCTCGTTCTTCTCTCTCTCGCGCTCGCGCTCCCGCTCGGACTTGTACCGTTCTAGCTCCCCTTTCGTCATGCGCAATTCGATATCCTCGCGCAACAATCTTTCATTTCTCTCCCTCTCACTCTCCGCTCTATATCGAGCCAACTCCCCCCCATCCCGCACCAACCTCTCACTCCGCTCCCTCTCCTTCTCCAACCTAATCCGCTCGAGCTCCGCGCGCGTACGCTCCAACTCAAAATCATCGCGCGTGAAGCTCGGTCGCCCGGAGGACGACGGACTATGGCTGTGCGAAAGACTCACATGACGACTGTGGCTGCGACTGCGATGTTTGCGTCGCCCTCCCACTTCACCCACGCTCAAGCGGCTTCGCGCGCGTCGGGTTTCGTAGGCAGACGAGGAGTCGCTGTCGCTGTCGTAGTCGTTGTAGATGCGGCGGGAATTATCGACGATGATGGGTTGAGCGAGGGGGGCGGGGGCGGCGGGGGGAGGTGGAGGAACGGGAGAGCGTTCGCGATGCCCGGTTGATCTGGAGCGTCGGATGCCAGAGGAGATCTCGGGGGTGAGATAGGTGCTCGTGCCGTAGCGGTAGGCGGGGACGGGTGGGTATTGGGGTCGTCGGTAGGGGATCGGGGCGGCGGGATCGCGGTTCCGTGTTTCGCGGGAGATGTGGATGTCGAGTTCTTCGTCGTCGTAGTAGTGTCGTGCCATTTTTTGTTTTTTTGTTTGTTTGTTTTGTTTCTTTCTTTCTTTTTACTTATTTAATTTTGGGAGTGAAAGTAAAAAAAGAAAAGTAGAATTCTCTCGAGGTGGAGACAATACTCGAAATGGTAAGTTGATATATATGCTATGCGATTTTCGAAGAGTGATTTGAATTCTGGGTAGATGGGTTGGTTGGTTGGTTGGATGGTCGGTCTGACCCCGCGATGAAGCGACCGAGGGGTTGGGATCTGTTGATTGCGACGTTGAGATAGGATGAAAAGTGGTGCGATAAGCTTTTTGAAGTCCGTCTCCTTCTTGCTAGTTGCTTTGTCCTTCAAATAGAGCTTTTCGTTGGGGGATCTTCAGTAGGATATCCAATAGCGGTTCTTTGCAGTTTGGACTGAACTACTAGATCTCTAGTATAGGTATTGAAGAGAAGTAAAGAGAAGAAAGAAGGAAGGAAGTAGTAGTAGTAGTAGGCAGGAAAGACAGGAAAAGAAATCAAGCGGGTGTCTTGTCAGCAGGAATGGGCATGGGCTTATTTAAGAGTCTTTTACTGGATCAGATTTGGGGGAATTACTGCATCTGCATTTATTTAAGGTGTGTACCTAGGTGTGGATGGAAATCCCCCCTCACTTCCCTCCGAGGAGCGGCTGAATGACTGATTTACTTGTAGTTGCCTTTCCCCTGTATTTAATTCACGTGTTACTGGGCTGTTATGTATACCTAGTATTTATCTCTGGGTCATGTATGAGTATTCTTATTTACAGATGAATGATCACGAACGGGTTTGTAGAATACCCTGAGTTTATCCCCAAGTATACATACCACGGTTCAGACAGAGCCATTCTCACTCCCGTTCGTTATCCCATGTATTCTTGTACGTACAGCCCTAACGGTATTAGTGGGGACGCTCTTGCGCTACTGCATCTTTGAAGTCAATTATATGCAGCTAAGCAGCTAAACCATCAAATCCAATTTAGCTTTCGTAAATTGATCCTATGGTGATGATGGGTTGGTGGGTAGGGATAGACGATATGCTTGGTATTGTAGGGTGTTGATAGAGAAGTAGGTACAAGTGCTCAAGCTAATGTCAATGCTAATGCTTGATGTAAGATTGGATTAGGCCCATTGTAACACTGTGATCGAGGAGTTTAGACTTTGATCACTTGCGGCTCTGAAGGATGTTTCCCCACTGTAATGTAACCGAACGTTGGAAAAAGCGTTTTAGGTTTTACGTGGAATTGTGGTTCGTTGGTTTGTGAAGAATCTGGATATGTATGAAGGGAAAGTAAAGGGTGGAGAGAAACAGTATGGAAAACAAATGATACATAAGTTGTTGGGTTGGTAGTTTCGCGATACGCTGTTTGAGATGAGATGAGATGAGGATGGTGCAAAGATTGGGCATTCGAAAAAGAGGGATTGGAGAAAGGGGAGGGGTTGGGTTAGCGCTTAGGTATTCATTCGCTTGGGCTTTTTAGCCCCCAACTTTGGAGTAGGTAAGAGTAGAATCGAGTTATACACCTTACTTTCGGATTTTGAATTATTGGATGATGAGTTATGATGAAAGAGTAGGTCGAAATTAGTGCTGGAAAGATCGAAACTTGAGGATGGTTTCTATGGTAGGACCTATGGCTCAATCTATTTTGAGGACTGGGTAGTTAGTAAATGCTTGACATCCGTCCGTGTATGACCATGCCAACGAATTACAATCACCAAAGTCGATCTTGTATTTTATATCATCTCTTCACATGACACCTAATACTACCTAGTAAGTAGTTACCCGTATCAATTCAGCAACTTTATATCCCACTTATTCAAGCACTTCCAAAATCACGTCACTCGTGTTCCCTCCTCCTAAGTGAAGTGAGAGAGGTTCAGTCATACACGAGAAACTATTATTCAATAGATAGGGAAAGTGCGATATGAAGTTTTTGAGCTTGTTTGTTTCAACGGCATGTCTCTGAAGACTCGGGAGTTCATATGACTCCTTCACGCAACTTGTATTCCCCCTCCCCACACCCTCAAATCCCAAATCCCACTATCAGTCAATCATCCATCCCAAGCCAAATCCTTCCAGAGAAACTACCCGGCCATTAACGAGAGCCGACTATCATACCGATCACGGCTTTTTCATAAACTCTAGAGTGCAGATGCCTCGAGAAAGCGTCCAACATGTATGATACTTTCCATCAAGCACGACCACCACTTTGAAGAATCCTCGTGATATTCTCCGTACTCTTCTCATACGTCGTTTCTAAATATTGTAATTTCTTGCCCAAATTATCAATATCGGATTTCAAGTCTTTAGTCTCGCGATTTAATCTCTTGTCTACATCAGCTGTAGGGCTGAAAACAAACCTGTCCAATTATTAATGCTTGTTTGTTACATCTGGTGAAGTGATCATGTGTTCCCACAACCAAGAAAAAGTCAAAAATGACTTGAAGTAAGAGAAAGAACGGGTGGAGATAAAAGTTGGAAAGGAGCAGAAACAGAAACAGAAACAGAAACAGAAGGAGAAGGAATATAAATACATTTTACCAACTCCTTCATATACATTGGTGTCAGGTGGTAACGTGGATACTTCGGTGGATGTGAGTTCGAGTTTACGGATTTCGCGTTGCTTGAGGGAGATTTGAGATTTGACGACACTGATTTGTTGCTCAGCTTGAATGGCTTGAGACTGAATTTCGTTGACTAGCTATGGGAGTATTAGTGATATCCCATTTTGACTTTGACATAGCAAGGTTTTGGAGGGAACGGGAGGGGGAGGAGGCTGGAATGAAATGGAGTGTGTCTTGTTGAGT